AAGTCCACAAGTCTTAAAGTTGTCAACTTTGAAGACCTCTGATCTAACTGGAGAGATTGCAGAGGAAGGGATTACAAGAGAGTAAATTAGGGCTGCCTGGAAAATTCTGGGAGTTGAAGTCCACAAGTCTTAAAGTTGTCAACTTTGAAGACCTCTGATCTAACTGGAGAGATTGCAGAGGAAGGGATTACAAGAGAGTAAATTATGCTGGCTGGAGAATTCTGGGAGTTGAAGTCCACAAGTCTTAAAGTTGTCAACTTTGAAGACCTCTGATCGAACTGGAGAGATTGCAGAGGAAGGGATTACAAGAGAGTAAATTATGCTGGCTGGAGAATTCTGGGAGTTGAAGTCCACAAGTCTTAAAGTTGCCAAGTTTGGGAACCACTGTCCTACACCAGTGAGGGTGAACCATTTTGGCAGCGAGTTCCCCAACCGGAACATGCTTCCATGAACGTACTCCGGAGTGCCGGAAGCCCAAAGACCAGCTGACTGGCATTCGCATGGCTGTTATTGGCCAGGTTTGGCCTTTTGGGGGCAGTTTCAGGGTGTTTTGGGGCCGTTTTGAAGCCATTTTTGGGGTCATTTTGACCGAAAAAACAGCCCCAAAACGGACTGAAAAGAGCCCAGAAAATGGTCCCAAACAGACTGTTTTGGGGCCATTTTCCGGGGTGCCCTCCGGCATCTGCAAAGACCACTGCCGGAAGCCAAATCAGCTGGTGACGGTGTGCGTGCCCACAGTGAGGGCTCTGCAGGCCATAGGTTCACCACTAACGTCCTACACAGTAGCTGTTACAGGTTTTCTCGTCGTCCTGGTCAAAACAGAAGCACACGACTGTTTCCCGTAATGGACCTTACGTTTCCTTACCCTCTTCTCCTCCCAGCAGTCTTTCAGCTGGAGGAGCCAGGGGGAGGGCGTTCTGCCAGTGCCGTGAGCCCCGCTTCCCTCTCTGCCTCGGGGCAGGGGTGACCTTCTCTTCAGAGACCCAGCTGTCCCCTGAGCCCTCGATCAGCTGACGGTGACGAACTCCCTCGAGCCGGCGGTGCAGAACGGAGTGGCCTGTTCCGTTCCCTGCCTCTTTAATGCGCTCTTAGCTGCTGAACGGAGGGGGGGGTGTTCCTTCCTCAGCCCTTTCCCTCCCTCCAAAGAAACCGAGATTGATGGGCTGTCAGAGCGGGGAGGGGAGGGGGCTGGCCGAGCAACTACCCCAGGCGATAGATGCGAAGGGGCTCGTGGTGGTATCGGAGCAGCAGAAAGAAGACCATCTCGGCTCCAGGTTCACGCACTGCCTGAGGCAGAATGCTGGAGGAAGAACACGGGGTGGAAAGGAAGAGAAAAATGTGAAATACCGTATTTTTCGGAGTATAAGACGCACCTTTTTTCCTCAAAAAAGGAATACAACATTGAACACACTTAATACAGCATTTTTGGCCTTCTGAAACAACGCCCACTTTGCAAAAATGGCCGTGCATAGCTTTTAGGAGGCTTCCAAAGTGCTCCTGGGGGCTGGGGAGGGCAAAAATGAGTGAAAAATGCGCCTCCGCCCCCCAGCCCCCAGGAGCACTCTATAAGTCTCCTAAAGGCTATGCATGCCCTTTTTTTTTTGACAAAAAATGGGCCAGTTTTTGCTCATTTTTGCCTCCCCCAGCCCCTTGAAGCACTTTATAAACCCCCTAAAGCCTATGCATGCCCTTTTCCCCCCCCCCACAAAAAATGGGCTGTTTTGAGGAGGCCTTCAGAGAGCAAAAACTTTTCTTAAAATTTGCCTCTTCAAAATCTTGGTGCATCTTATACTCTGAAAAATACGATCGATGCTTCTGGGGTCTTTGGGGAAAGAAGAGAGGGGATACAGCTGGTTTTGCAGTGAGAGGAAGGAAGAGGTTTGAGTCCAAATCAGTGATGAAATCTATTTTTTTTTTTGCTACCGGTTCTGTGGGTGTGGCTTGCTGATGGGGGGGTCATGTGACTGGGTGGGTGTGGCCAACTTTTTTTCACTTTTTAAAGCATTCTTTCCTGCCTATTCGGCCAAACCTGCAGGAAAAAAAATGCTTTAAAAAGTGGGGGGAAGCTTCCGACGATCGCACGACTCACAGCTCAGCCGTGCGATCCTCGGAAGTTTTTTTTTTTTTACTACTGGTTCGCAGAACCAACAACAATTGTCCCTACCGGTTAGGCTGAACCGGGAGGATTTCACCCCTAGTCCAAATGCTGCTAAGTACAGATATCTCTTTCCTGAAGGATTCCATAACTGTCTCATTAAGCACCGTTTTTTTTTGCACACTTGGCTTCTTGAAGATGTGTTGACTTCAACTCCCAAAGATAGCTGGGGAATTCTCGTTTCTTGTTTTTACAGTATATAGGGTTTCTGGAGACAGGTTTCTGCTTTTGATGGGAGGGGTCCAGGGGTGGCATTCAGCAGGTTCTGGCCAGTTCTGGAGAACTGATAGCGGAAATTTTGAGTAGTTTGGAGAACTGGTAAATACCACCTCTGGCTGGCCCCGCCCGCATCTATCCTCTGCCTCCCGAGTCCCAGCTGATCGGGAGGGAATGGGGATTTTGCAGTATCCTTCCCACACCCACCAAACCATGCCCACAGAACCGGTAGTAAAAAAAAACAATTTGAATCCCACCACTGGAGAGGGTCTTTTTCTGTCTTCGGTCTAGGCTGGCGGGCAAACCACAACGGATTATGCCATGAAGGTCCTTGCCACCTGTGCCAAGGGTAGCCGGTTGGCTTCGATGCAGATGGTGAAACTGGATAAAAGTAAGTGTGGCTGCCTTTGGCTCAATCTAGGGCAGTGTTTTTGATTTTAAACTTGTACGGCTTTCAGAGGGGTTGGACTTCCACTCCCAGAATTCCCCAGCCAGCATGGCTGGCTGGGGAATTCTGGGAGGTGAAGTCCAACCCCTCTGAATGTTGGTACGATTGAGCAACCGCCCCAGGCTGCCAGAGAAGCCAAGAGATATGAGATACGGCCTCTGGATTATGTCCCTCTCTTTCTTTAAAAAACAACAACACAGCTTTGTGGGGCAGAAGCTGCCCACCTCGAGGCCACCCTGTATCCCTTTGAGGCATCTTCCCAGTTCCAGCCTGCTTAGAGAAATAGGACTGACTGCCCCAAAAGGATCCCCTTCCTTTAGGGAAGTTTTTTTCAGCTGGGCTTCCACAAGAAGCCATGATCGCCAACATTAAATATACATTTTATTTTGAACTCTGCACACCCCGCAGTTCTAGCGCTCTCAGCCCTGGGAATTGTTACTCTCCACAATTCAGCTACCGACTCGCCTCCTGTTGTAAAACACAGACTGTTTAGGTTAGAGATGAATGGTGTCGTTAAGTTTTTATCTGTCTTGTTCCATGAGAGCTGGAAATCGTTTCAAGGGTTCCCTCTGGGATCAAATCATTGCAAAATTCTGTGGCTGCCTGAGGAAAAAAAAACACTTATTGTAAGTTTTACTTCACAGCATCTGTCCCACTCAGGTGTCCTTGGAAAGTGAGCAGGATGGCTTCCTCTTCATTGGAGGTTCAGATTATGGAGGGAGGAAAAGGAGGAAAACCCTAGGATTGTTTCTCCTTTTGAAGGAAAGCCACCCACCCCTCCTCCTGGCAAGAGGACTCAGGGGTGCAACAAGAGCCAGAGATGGGAATGGGACAACTCACCACAGCCAACTCTCCATGGCCAGCACTCCATGGCCAACTCTCCATGGCCAATTCTCCATGGCCAACTCTCCATGGCCAACTCTCCATGGCCAACTCTCCATGGCCAACTCTCCATGGCCAACTCAATATCCAACTCTCCAAGGCCAACTCTCCATGGCCAACTCTCCATGGCCAACTCTCCATGGCCAACTCACCATGGCCAACTCACCATGGCCAACTCACCATGGCCAACTCTCCATGGCCAACTCTCCATGGCCAACTCTCCATGGCCAACTCAATGTCCAACTCTCCATGGCCAACTCACCACGGCCAACTCTCCATGGCCAACTATCCATGGCCAACTCTACATGGCCAACTCTACATGGCCAACTTGCTGCAGGACAATTCAACAATTCTATTGAATTGTTTACATTAAGTAAAAATTATTTTAATTTTTGCCCTTCCCATTTCATTCCGTCCCTCCTTTTGCATCCTTTCTTTAATGATTCTATCCCACCTTTTCTTTCATATTAGTGTAACTCTTGTCCCGCAGCAAGTTGCCCCACGTTGAGTTGGCCGTGGTGAGTTGTCATAGGCCCTCCAGAGACTCCCTGAACAAACGGGGCTCTCTGGCGGCTTCTACCCTTTGCGATTGTGGTGACTTGCAGACAACAACACATCTTCTGCCCTAACCCTTTGTGTCTTGATCAGTGGACCTCATAGTAGCACAACAGAACTCAATTATTGCTGCTGGTTTCCGGACAAGATTGTTTTAAGTTGCACCTATTACGATCTTGTCTTTTTGTATTTTAAAAGTTATGTCGTAGCACCTGCCTTGTTTTAACTGTGATGCCTCTGAGACGAATAAACCCACGAGAGGACTCTTTCTGGAAAGTTACAGTGGCTCTGTTCTCCAGCCAAAAACCTCCATTGTTATGTAGCCCCGGTGCCACCTGGCTTCCTGGCCCTCGAATCACCTTGCAACCTCATTCCTCTGGCTGCTTCTGGAGGCTGTTGACCTCCTTGACGGCTGGCTCAAAGGTCTTCTTTTCTGGGATGGAGAGTTTAATTGGCATGGCCTCCCCCCCCCCCCATTCCCCATCTAGAGAATTGAGCTGTTCCTCCTTCCATCTCGCCTTTCCACAAATCCCTTTGGCACGGAGGGAATTAACCTTCCAGTGTAGCCTTTTGCTCTTCCCCAGATCCTATTCGGGGGTCTCTTTTGCTCTCTTCCCCCCAGAATGCAGGCTGTTGACGAAGCTTCTGTCCTGCCCGAACGAGGCGGTGGCAGGGAACGCTGCTTTCTGCCTGGGGAAATGCCTGGAGGTGCCCGGGACAGCCACCAACTTGCTCGACACGGACGTGGTCAGGATCCTGCTGAGAGCCACCACCCGCGATGCCCAAAACCCCCACGGGCAAGAGAATGCCGCCATAGCCTTAGGGAAACTCTGTGCCTCTGATGCCAGGCAAGTCTTCTTCATAGTGGGCAGGCCAGGAATCGTCCCCCCATCCCTTTGGGCTCCTGGCAGGGGTGAAATGATGCTACCGGTTCTGACAGGTTCGCCGGACCTGGTACTAAAAAAAATGCTTTTAAAAAGTAAAAAAAAAAAGAGGTTACCACGATCGCGCTGCACAGCTGATTGTCACAGCTGATGAAGCTTTTCTTTTTACATTTTTTTAAAGTAGGCTTAAGTGTGTCCCATGTTGTCCCCCTGGTACTTCTGGGGTAGAAGGTGTAGAAAATGCCCGCTGCCCTCTTCTGCTTGCTGGTAAATCTGCCGAGAGCCTCCTTCAGCTCCGTCCCACCCGCATCTCTGATCCGGTTTTGCTGTCTCTCTCTCCGGTCTTTCCAGGCACACCAGCCGGCTGCGAGAGCTGAACGGAATGGCGGCCCTGACTGCTTCCATCAGGAAGATGCCAGGCCCTTAGGATGCCAGGAGACGGCCCGGAGAGAGGGATTCTGTGCCCAGCACCCCATCCCGGGGTTGGAACTCTGCTTCCTTTGGACAATAAAGAGGATTAAAAGCAGGGTGGGGGCAGCGGGAGAGGGAGAAGGTCATAAAAATATGTTATCAAGGTTAATAAACCACTTGGAACACTGCCTGGATTAAAGTGGTTTCCCTCTGTTTATAAAAATGCAGAGGCAATTCTAGGAGCCAATTCCTTATCCGGGTAGGAAATTGCCACTTTCAAAAGGAGCTTCTTCAAAAATAAAAATAGGAAGAAGGCATTACTTGAGGTTTGGACACAGACCAAGTCTGGCTGGATCCCTTGGGATCTGAGTAATTGGGTTCTCACCCTTTCCTTGTTTCTGAGTGTTTCGTGCTGTGAATCCTGTGTACAGATAGATTGCAGGCTTCAGGCTTTCAAATTGTCCTGGTGGACAATTGTTTAAATAGGAGCCAGCCGTGTGCTGCAGCAGCCAAAAAGGCCAATGCAATCCTAGGCTGCATCAACAGAGGGATAGAATCAAGATCAGGTGAAGGGTTAATGCAACTTTATAAGGCCACACTTGGAATATTTGCATTCAGTTTTGGTCCCCATGATGTAGAAAAGATGTGGAGACTGCATAAAGAGTG